CCTCCCAACACATGAGTAACACCCGAGGGTGTCTCAGCATACTGCTTAGGAGCGCCACGCATGCCATGTGCACCATGGATTTCCAGGTGCACCAGGCACCCTGGAGGCCCAAGCGAGCCAGGCGCGCCAGGTGCGGCACGTGCTCTACGTTTAAACAATATGGCGGCCCCCCCCGCCGTCCCTGACAAAACCCAGTGCGAAGTGGTCGTTGGGCGCCCGCGCATGCGCCAGATGTGGAGGCGACGTGCATTCTGTATTGTGTTTTGACAGGGATGGTTGGCCTGCGCGCAGCGAGTAATATGACGGCCCCCCCGCCGTCCCTGACAAAAAATCCAGGCAAAGTAGTCGCGGGGCGCCAGCGCATGCGCCAGATGTGGAGGCGAAGTGCATTCTGTATTCTTTGTTGACAGGGATGGTTGGCCTGCGCGCAGCGAGTAATATGACGGCAGCCCACAGTCCTTATCAAAAACCAAGGTCGCGCGGCGCCCGCGCATGCTCCAGATTTGCAGGCAAAGCGCATTACGTATTGTTCTTGGACAGGGATGGTGGGAGGGGGCATGCCTCGGGTTGGCCCACAGTCGAATAAGAGAGGATGTGTATATGAATAAAGAACAGTAATGAACCCCTCCCCCGAGCAGGGGAAGGAGGGATTTCAGACCCCCATGACATGGTCCGTGTGTTTGATTATGTCCAGCCTGCCAAACTCATGAAACGTTTTGTGGCCTCATGAAGGCTCCACAAAATGTCCACACGGCAGGGTCGGTATGCCTGACCACGCCATTTCTGGCACACTCCTCACACGCTTCGTGGCCCCATAGGAGCCCCACAGAAGGCTCATATGGCAGGGCCCGTGTGCCTAACCATGCCCTTTCTGGCACTCCAGTCACACTTTCCGTGGCCCTGTAGGAGCTCCACAGGAGACCAAAAGGGTTGGTCCGTATGCCGGGCCCCATAGGAGCTCCACAGAAGGACCACATGGCAGGGCTCTTGCGTCTGGCCACGCCCATTCTGGCACACCCCTCATACGTTTCGTGGCCCCATTCTGGCTCCACAGGAGACATGGCAGGGCCTGTACAGTCGGGGCGCTGAAGAAGGAACCCTTTTGCGTTGGGGAGGGGCTCGGTGTTCCTTGATCTGTTTACAGCTTGCCTCAGGCTTTCCGGAGGCTTTCCATGGGAAATCGAAGTTTAGTTCTTTACGCTTCGCGTATCCCCACCAGCCCATCTCACAAGAGCAACTCTTGCGAAGCATGCCGACAGTTGTATTTTGCAGGCGTGTGTCCGCTTGCCCCCGCATATCTCCCCTGTTCCTCCTTCCTCCCGCCTCCTTGTACATCCTCCTTGTGGGGGGAGCGGGAGAAGGACGAGGCGGAGGAGGAGGGAGAGAAAACGCTCCTCGTGGTTTGAGTCGTTTGGGGTTTCTCGTCCTGGTGTGAGTCGTTCGGGCCCTTTTTCCTGGTGTGAGTCGTTCGGGCTCTTCGTGGTGTGAGTCGTTCGGGCTCTTCGTCCTGGTGTGAGTCGTTCGGGCTTCTCGTGGTGTGAGTTGTTCGGGCCCCTCGTCCTGGTGTGAGTCGTTCGGGCCCCTCCTCCTGGTGTGACTCGTTCGGGCTCCTCGTGGTGTGAGTCGTTCGGGGCCCTCGTCGTGGTGTGAGTCGTTCGGGCTCCTCGTGGTGTGAGTCGTTCGGGCGCCTCGTCCTGGTGTGAGTCGTTCGGGCCCCTCCTTCTGGTGTGAGTCGTTCGGGCTCTTCGTGGTGTGAGTCGTTCGGGCCCCTCGTCCTGGTGTGAGTCGTTCGGGCTCCTCGTGGCGTGAGGCGTTCGGGCACCTCGTCCCCTTTTGGGGCGTCTTGGGGGCCTCTTGGCGGCCCCAGGGGCTTCTAGGAGCGTCTTGGGTGCCTTGGGGGAGCCTCTTCGGGCCTCTTGGGAGCCTCTTGGAGGCCGTTTGGGGCGTCTTGGGGGCCTCTTGGCGGCCCCAGGGGCTTCCAGGAGCGTCTTGGGTGCCTCGGGGGAGCCTCTTGGGGCCTCTTGGGGGCCTCTTGGGGGCATCTTGGGGGCCTCTTGGAGGCCTCTTGGGGGCCTCCTGGGGGCCTCTTGGGGCCATCTTGGGGCCTCTTGGTGCCTCCTGGGCGCTTCTTGGGGCCATCTTGGAGGAGATCGATTAAAGAAGAGGGGAGCTTTAATGAGCGCTGCCCCCTCAGAAGGGCAAAATGAGCCCAAAACCTTCGTAAAATCAATAATTTTGCCTTGAAGGGAGGGGGGAGCTGTCATGAGCGCTGCCCCCTCAGAAGGCCCAAATGGGGCCAAAACCGTAGTAAAATCAATGATTTTGGCTTCAAGGAAGAGGAGAGGGTTTTTTCTCCCCCCCCCGTCGGGGCCAGAATCCTCGTGAGGGGTGTCGTTTTTTAGCCCTCCCAGGAGTCGAAAAAGACCCCTCCAACGACCCGCGAAACCCCCTCTCCAGGTCCAGGGGGAGGGGGTAGGGGGAGGGGTAAACCCCTCCCCGAAGGGGAAGAAGGGGGGTTGAGAACAGAGAGGGCTCGCTAAACCACTCACGCCCAAAGGGCTGGTGGGATTTATGGGAAAAAGGGGCCTCGTTCCTTATTTAGGGTTCCTTAGGTCAACGCCCCGACGGTATTCCTGACCACGCCCGTTCTGGCGCACCCCTCGCACGTTCGTGGCCCCATACGAGCGCAGAACCGCCGAGATGGCAGGGTCGGTGTGCCCGACGACGCCCCATTCTGGCAGACCCCTCATGCGTTTCGTGGTCCCCCAGGAGCTTTGCCGTCCACCCTCGCGCTGCACCGGCATGCCTGTGCATTGCAATCCGAGGCACGGCGATGCCCGAGCGCTTGCACGCTCTTGCCCTGCATTTTTCCTGATAGCATGTGTTGTTATTTAGCTTGCCAATGCGCCGTCTGGGCGCGGCTTCTTTTCAGGAGCTTCACAGAAGGCCCACATGGCAGGGTCTGAGTGCCTGGCCACGCCCAGTCAGGCACACCCCTCGCAAAGCTCGTGGCCCCACAGGCGCTTCAGCCGCGGCGCCAGCGGGTGTGTCCACATGCTGCCCCCGCCCACTTCGCCTCGCTCCTGTGCTGCTCCTGAAGCCCCCTTGATAAGCAGCTCGTGCTGAGGCCCCGGCGGGTGCGTACGCATGCCGCCCCCGCCCATGCCGTTCGCCCCGGTCACGTTTTCAGGTCCCTTACGGAGCCCACCGAAGGTCCCAGTGAGTGCGTCCACCTGCGGTCCCCCCCCCCGTGCCGCGGTTTTCATGCCTCATCTGGTGTTCCACCTGAGACCCGTGGGTGCGTTCACGTGCAGCCTCCGCCCATTCCGCTTGCCCTCTGGTACGTCTTTCCAGGCCCAACAGGAAGCTCCGCCTACGGCCCCAGCGGGTGGGTTCACATGCTGCACCCGACCATTCCGCTCGCCCCTGCCACTTTCTTGGAGGCCCATACAGAGCTCTACCTAAGGCCCCAGTTGGTGCGTACACATGCCGCCCCCGCCCATGTCGCTCGCCCCTGGCGCGGTTGTCGGGCTCCATGGGGGCACATGCGGTCCCCGACCATCTTGCTCGCCCCCGCCACGTTTTTGGAGCCCCATGCGGAGCTCCAGTGGCGATGACCGCATGGCGGCCTCCCGACCACGCCGCTCACCCTTGCCACGCCTTTTGGGCCCCCTGCGGCCCTGCGGGAGGGCTCCACCAGCGGCCCAAGTGGCGGTGACCGCGTGCCCTCCCCCCACCTCGCCCGCCCCCGCCACGCTTGTAAGCCCCCCATATAGGGAGCTCCACCTCCGGTGCCAGTGGCGACATTTGCATGGCGGGCCTTGCAACCTCGCCCAACTCTGCCACGGTTCTTGACTTCCACAGGGAGCTCAAGTGGTCTTGGGGCCTGTTGGAGACCACTTGGGACTCGTGGAGCGCTTCTGAGAGGCTCTTGGCTTTGTTCGGATGCAACTCCTGGGAGGTCAAAATCTGTTTTTGCCCTGGTCCGAGATCCGGCTTAATCCGGCTTAATCCGGCTTAATCCGGCTCAATCCCGCTCAATCCGGTTTAATCCCGATTCCCGCTTAATCCCGCTTAATCCGAGGCCCACTCCGGCATAACAGCCCTCCAATGGGGCTCAGTCCTCTTCAATCTTTCCGACGAAAACCTCCCAGTAGTTGCCTCCTGGGGTTTGTCTTGAGGCGGTCTCGTGCCATCTTGGCGGCCTTGGTGGCCTGTCCGGGCCGTCTTGGTAGCCTCGGAGAGCCCTGGGGAGCGCCGGGGAGGCGTCGGGCCGCTCAGGAAGCCTTCAGAGGGGGAGGGGGAGGAGGAGGAGGAGGAGGAGGAGGAGGAGGAGGAGGAGGAGGAGGAGGAGGAGGAGGAGGAGGAGGAGGAGGAGGAGGAGGAGGAGGAGGAGGGAGGAGGAGGAGGAGGAGGAGGAGGGAGGAGGAGGAGGAGCAGGAGGAGGGAGGAGGAGGAGGAGGAGGAGGAGGAGGAGGAGGAGGAGGAGGAGGAGGAGGGGAGGAGGAGGAGGAGGAGGAGGAGGAGGAGGAGGAGGAGGAGAGGGAGAGGAGGAGGAGGAGGAAGAGGAGGAGGAGGCAGGTGGAGGAGGAGAAGGAAAAGGATCAGGAGGAGGAGGGGGGCCCTTGACAGACTATCTGCTGGCCAGCACTTAGCATTCTGCCACGCCTCCACGTGCCAGGAGGCGCGGTGGCCGGCGTCGCTGACACGCCATAGCGTATGTTTTGCAGAGCCGTAAACAGAATGCTGGGCTCGCGTTGATAATTGCATACATTGGTTTTGGATTGCGTTGTTGATGCATTCGCGGTTTACGTGCCGCATAGATCTTCCAGTCCGCTCGTTAACCGTGCCGCAAAGACTCTTCAGACCGTCGTTTCCTTGTTCAGCAGTCTGTTCATCACGGCGCGCACTTTGCAGAATAGCGGGAGAGCAGCGTGAGGGGATATTATTCGAGCCCAGGACGTTGTTTGTTTTGACGATATTTTGCTGCCTTTGCCCAGGCTGTACTACATGGCAATCATTATCACCATCTGCACTGCGGCCGTGTAGGGATGGGGATTACGACATGAACGGGTGCGTTAGAGGTAGATCGGACGATGAGGAGTTGCGTGGTAAGGTCACCATCAGTTTCGGCTGAGTCCCTGTGGTCCTCGACGAATGTTTGACGCTACGCGTATTCCCACCAGCACCGTTACTCGCCGCCGCTGGCGCTCCCGCCCGCGGCTGTAAAAAAATAAAATAAAAAAGTATTCCCACCAGCCTTTAGTAGCTAATGGGGCTGCTTCCGTGTCCCAGAACGCTTCTGACTCCGCTTGCGCTCTCGCTGGCGGACGCGACCGAAAAGTATTCCCACCAGCCCATCCAAAAACGATGCCCATCATAGTTGCTTGGACGAATCGTTTCAAGGAGGGAATAATGACGTGGAGGATAACGAGGAGGAGCAGGATGAGGAAAAGAACCAGGTGGAGGAAAGGAGGGCGGAGGAGGATGAAGAGGAGGGGAAGAGGAGGAGACATAGGAGGATGAGGAGGAGGAGGATGAGGAGGGAGAGGAGGAGGAGGAGGAGGAGAAGGTAGACGAGGAAGGGGAGATGAGGAGGATGAGGAGGATGAGGCGGAGGAGGAGGAGGAGGAGGAGGAGGAGGACCAGTGTAAACCCAGGACTTCTCAACGATGTTGAACTACACCTTCCCTCCAAGACCCCTCTTCATAGTTCCCTACTCGGGTTCATCATTTCCACTGAGGCAATTGTCCCGTTGGGGGACACAGGTGTGGACATTTCGAAAAGTGCCAACTAGCCATTCTCAGGAGTTCAACGCCACGGGGTAACCTCACTGTTACGTCTTGTCGATCCAGAATCGTGCCAGAACACCATTCCTGGGACTCCAGCGTCACGAATCAACGTTACTGTGGCGCCCTGACAATTCTGAATCGTTCCACAACACCGTTTCTGGTACGCTAACCATGCGAACCAGTCAAACTCTTGCGACTGATTAAAAACGAGTATGCGCGGCGCTACGGCGAGAGCCACATTTTGACCAGGAACCTCCCATAATCCGCGAAACTCTTGCGAACTCTTGAAACGATTGTGTGCGGCGTTGAGGCCAGAGCCAAATTTTGAAAACATTAACCGCCTTCATTCAGTGATAAAATGAATTTGCGCGGCGCTACGGCGAGAGCCACATGTTGGAAAGAAACCGCCATGTGCGTGGCGCTACGGCGAGAGTCCCATTTTGAAAACCACCCGCCCTCAATCCGTGAAGCTTTGCAGCTTTTACATCGAATGTGCGCGGCGCCAGGCCGAGAGTCATATTCCGATAACGACCCGTCCTCCATCTGTCACATTGCTGCCAATTTGGAAGCATCAGGGTTATGATTGGTGACTCGTTCAAGATGGGCTTGGGGAGAGCGCCTGTTGAGTATCGGGTGGTGTGTTTTGCACGATGGTTGTCGAGTGCCTGGGTGATGTGTTGTACAGGAAGTCTATGTTGTTTTTGGGTGTAGTGTTGGACGCAGAGGGAATTGGATATAATAACCGCTTCAAGTTAGGCTTGGAGAGGGGGTTTGGTGAGTATTGGTTGGTGCGTTGTGCGCGACGGTTGTGGAGTATCCGGGCGTTGTGTTGTACACAGGGAATTGAGTGGCATGCTTTGTCCAAGTTAGGCGTTGAGATGGAGCTTGATGAGTATCGGGTGCGGCGTTGGACGCCGCGGAGGCCGTGAAGTACCTGGGTGTTGCGTTTGACACGGAGGGCGTGGAGTAGAAGACGGTGTGTCACGTGATGTTTCGGAGGGAAGCCGTTTGAGTGTCGGGTGGCACGTTGTGCGCGAAGGTGGTGGAGCACCAGAGTATGAGGACTTTGTCAAATTCGGCTTGGAGAGGAGACCCGTTCAGTGTCGTGTGGTGCGTTGTGCGCGCAGGCTGTCGAGTGCTTGGGCGTTGCGTTGGAGACGGGGAGCATCGGGCGCGGCGTTGGACGCGAATGCTGTGGAGTACCTGGGCGTTGTGGTGGACGCGGGACTAGTTGAGTATATTGATTTTGTCAAGCTAGGTTTGGGGACGGGGCTTGTAGTGTCTTGAGTGGTGAGTTGTGCGCGGAAGCCGTAGAGCACCTGGGCGTTGCATTGTGCACCCAAGGTGGTTGAATAGAAGGACTTGTTCAAATTAGTCTTGGGTTGGGGGGCTGTGGAGTATCCGGGGGTGTGTTTTACACAAAGGCTGTGGAGTACCTGGGCTTTGCGTTGTGAGCGGGGGGAATTGAGCACGCGGGCCATTCTCCAGTTAGGCTTGGGAAGGGGGGCTGTTGTGTAGCGGGCGTCGCGTTGAACGCGGAAGCCGCGGAGTATTCGGGTGTTGTGTTGTGCGCGGGAGGAGCTGAGTAGGAACGCTGTTTCAAGTTGGGCTTTGGGAGAAACTCTGCTGGGAATCGTGTGGCTCGCTGCGCGCCAATGCCTGAGTGCATTTGTGTGTGTGTGTGTGCTGTTGGAAACGGAGAGAGTTTGACAGAAAATATGTTCAAAATAGGCTTGGGACGGACGGGGAGGAGGAGGAAGAGGAGGAGGAGGACGAGGAGGAGGCGGAGGACGAGGAGGAGGCGGAGGAGGAGGAGGAGAAGGAGGAGGAGGAGGAGGAGAAGGAGGAGTGGCAGGCCCTGTACCAATGGGCGCTCATCGGCTGCACGTTCTACATCGGCTTCGGTACCTTCGTTGGCCTGGTAGCCCCGCCGCGTTCGCTTTCGCCCCACGCCGCGACTCTTCTCCGATGGAGTCTTCGCCCCCCTGTTAGGAGAAGGAGGGGGGCAGGAGCTGGTTGAGGAATGGGAGGAACGAGATGAGGGTGAAGTGGACGGGAGGAGAGGAGGGCAGGGGGAAGATGAGCGCTAGAGCGATGGAGCGGCTCTGGCTGTAACAGGGCGCAAGCCACCCTGCTCGTGGTCGATTGTCTTGCCCGCTACGGCGCTACGTCTTGCTGGTGCTGTTCGGCTTTGCGCAGGTCGGCTCAGGGCGGACCCGAGGCCTCCAACCTGCGCACGGTGGTCCGAGGCGCACGTGGACACAATCCACAGCACATCCCATGGGTGCAACCTATGGCCACGCACACACAGTTTTACATTATCCCAGGGAGGCCTCTGAGCGCAAGCATTGATTGGGAGCTTGCGAGCACATACGCCCATGCGTATGCATGAGGAATACAAGCGTATGTTGCCAATCCGACGCGGGGCCATCGCACACTGGAAGCTGAGCCCCCATCTTCCATATCATACGAACGGACTTTCTTTTCGGTGTGCGTGTGTGCACGCACAGCATATACATTCCTTCATTGTGTCGTTGCCTCTCTCTTAATTTTCTCTGTATGCCTGTATGCACGTATACATACGCTCGTACACATTTGCAGACCTACGCACCCCCCATATATATGTATCCAGGAAGCATGATATTTGATGGGGTATGAGAGTGAGGTTGCGTGTGCAATGCTGCTGTACTGTTACATGCGCGACTGGCGCATGACAGTTGCATTGTGAAGAGCCGTTTTGGCTCAGTGCATGTTGAACAGGAAAAGTATCTTCACACCTTTCGGGGCATCCGTGGATCCCAGCTCCGCTCAACAACACAATAACAAACTATTCAGGCCAGTTAATACCCAAGTACTTGAATGGTAACGTGCTCGGTTTCTCCTCCCATGGCTGGTGTGGGCCTCGTGGATACGCGCCTGCTCGGCAGACTGGGCAAGTACGGCGGGAACCGCGATGAGTTCCCGACGTTCAGATACCAGCTACTGAGTTATCTTGGAGCGATCGACCCTCGACTCTCGGCAGCAGCGACGGCGACTACCACGCACGGTGCGATTATCAGTTTCGCCGAGAATGGGAGAGGGCAGCAAGCAGTTCGCTCACACGGTGAGCTACATTTTATCACAGGTGCACACGGGCAGTGCGCTCATCTTGGTAAAGAATTGTGAACAGGGAAACGGCTTGGAGCAGTGGCGGGAATTGTGCTTGAGAGAGGATGCGGCCACGAGTTCCAACAATGTGACGCAACTACAGTTGCTCGTGAAGATGGAGTTCACAGGCAAGTGGGGCAACTCCGTCGAGGAGCTGACCAAGTTTCTGCTGGACACCAGCAAATATCAGGATAAGGTTGGTGAGATGATATCGGACACCCTGGTGCAGGCTCTGCTTAACAAGAACATACCCGAGCCACTCCGGGTGCGGGTGACGATGCAAACGTTCGGATCGCACGCGGCCCTCAGAGAGACTTGCGAGGCTTTCGCGCAGCAGATGAACCAGGAGGACACGAAGGCCGCCACGCAGAAGGAGTTCGACCCGAGCGCTATGAACGTGGGCGCTTTCGGCAAGGGTGGTTACGGCAACAAAAAGAAAGGTGCAGGACGCGGCGGCAAGGCTGAGTCCAAAGGGTGAAAGTCAAGTGGTTACCGAGATTCAGGCGGCAAGGGCAGCAAGGGAGACAAGACCAGCAACGCGGGTGACAAGACGAAGAAGGGTGACGCGAAGTTCTTCGATGGTTGGCGTTCGAGCCCACATTGTGGCAAGTAGGGGCACGATAGCTGACTGCAGAGCGCGGAGGAGGTGCGTGCCAGCCTGGAGGAGGTCAGCGATCCGCAGCGGGAGTTCAGCAGGAAATGCAACCAGCATTCCAGCCACAGCTTGGATCGGACGCAGCAAGTGCGGTCCACCCAAGATCACCAATATCGCAGATAGCAGCATCGAGCTCGCGCGGTTCGCGGCCCAATAGGGAGCTGCGCCGAAGGCCTCTGTGGCGACGCCCCCGCGCTCCCCCGCCGCCCATTTTCGGCGCGCGCCCTGCGCGGTTCGTGGCCCCATAGGGAGCGCCACCGAAGACGATCTCCACAATTGCGGTATTCACATCTGCGAATGGCTGGGTCCTTCGCCCGGCTCGGTGAAGAATTTCGGCACGCGCGCGCGACGGCGCGCGCGCGCGCGTGCACGTCGTATACTTGTTTGGTAGACGGATGTCGTTAACTTATGGTTCTTGATGAACCGCTTCGCGTGCGGCGTATTTTTTCAAATGGGTTTGGGGTGGCGATGCCTGCCTGCCTGGGACGGTGTGAACATATTCTGGGCGGACGAGTTGGCGTGGTACATGTGAAAACGCAAGGCGCGAAGGACTACTGTTAAGACCCGGGGAGGTGGGGGGGGGGGGGGGGTAGAGTCTATATTTTTTCCAGAGGATGGCCTATGTGGTGCAATCTGCGTGGCGCGACATGTTGTGTAATCCGTGCTGTGCGATCTATGTGATGCATTAAGTGTGGTGCCATGTACGCGGTGCAGCTCACCGATGCTCGCTGTGTGTTGTTAACTTCGTGGCTCGTGCGCTCATCCCGCCCGCCTGCCCACGACGCGGTTGGCAAAACCCATGCGACCGCGATTGCGAGGGGTGCTTGGCGTTGGCTGATGCATCTCTGCGGCCGCGCGAGCCCGCGCATGCTCGCGCGCGCAGCGGCCAACTAGTGTTGCGCCGCCGACGCGGCCGCGGCGGCGCTGGCCGCTGGGCATTTCCCAACGAGCACTTCACTGCGAGTCGGCGTGTCGGGCGGGCGCGGTATCACGGCGACGCCGACGGCGGTGGGCGCGATTCTGAGAGTGGCGATGATGGCGGCGCTGGCGGCGACGACGGCGGCGTGGCCAAAGGCGGCGCCGATGTTGATCACGCCCGCCGATAACGATGACGATGTCCTCGCGTCGGTGATGAATGTTGAATGTTTTTGGGGGGAGTTGAACATGCGCGCGCGGCCGACGCTCGCGACTGGGCCGCGTGGTATATTTTGACGCGGATCGTGCCTCCCCAGCGCGCGCGCAAGGACGTTGGCAGAATTGGGTGGCAATGTTGTAACCACTTCTGGTTTTCTTAAGAATTTACCAGAGCGCGCGCGCGGGCTTGTTTTGGAAACTGATGTTGCAAAGCAATATGGTTTTCATATGTTTTAGGGGCATTCGTTTTTGAAATCCTCGCGGCACTCCGGGTTTTTGAAAGAGTTCGACATGCGCGGGCGACGACGCGCGCGGCGACATCACGTCCGCAAGGGCGTTCGAACGACATGCGCGCCCGACTAATCCGTTTTGTGGTTTTTAAGGCAATGTAGGAACATCCATTGTTTTCTGTTTAAGGATTGCAAGAGATTGCGGACGTACCTTTATGTTTGTGGTTTGAATGAAATTTGTAATTAACAAATTTTTCATGTGTTTACGTGGCGCTCGATGACGAAGTTTCTACGGGACCTTGAGTTTTTGAAGCGTTTCGGCATGCGCACGCGACGACCCGCGCGTTTGCATGTCGTCCCGTTTGTTTGCGCATTGTTGATGAAAGAGTGCGCGCGCATAGTTGTTTTTGCAGGAAGTCAGGGGGGATGGATACCGGCGTGGCTGGGAGGGAATGAGTTCATATGTCGGCAGGGCGATGGGGCAGAATATGATGCACATTGCAATGCGAAAGGGGGGCGGTTAAATCCGGGGGAGGTGGGTAGATCTTATATTACTGATACAAACAATTGGGTGGTGCAGTGTCTGTTGAGCAATCTGCGTGGGGCAATGCATGTGGTGCAACATATGTGCAACACTCGATTTAGTGCAGTCTGTATGGTGCAAGATACGTGGTGCAATTCATTCGTATACAATATATGCCATCCACGGGGGGCGACGGTGAGCAATGCATCACACAAATAATGCGATGCAGCGCAACGCAATGCACAACGAAACGCTGGGAAGCAACGCGAAACAATGCAAGTCAATGCAACACGACGCCATGCAAACCCATGCAAAGCAGCGCAAGTCAATACATGTGGTGCGTCTAGCGGCGGCGACGAGCTTCCGCGGGGCGGCGACGGCGGCCTCAGCAGCCAGACCGATAACACGACCCAGACGACGGGCGGTGTCGAAGCGGCGACGGGGCGGCGACGGTGGCCACATCACCGCCAGCCCGAAAACACGGCCCACTTCCCCAGAACAGACATGGGAACCCCTAAGTACACGCATTGTTTGAGAACGTATCTATAGATGTATATATATATATGAATTAAATATAGGTGTTTACAAATATTTGTGTACATGTGTATATATGCACATACGTATACGTGTATGCACATACGTATACGTGTACACGTGTACGGATGTATATAATTATAAGTGTTCATCGTTTATCTGTATGTGCATTTATATTCATGTTTGTGAATATGTACGTACGTACGTATGTTTGAAGGTGTATTCCATCATGTACATATACTGGCCTTTGGCCGATCCCGCCACCGTGTCTGGGTTGTATGACAGAGCCCTCTCGGGGCCCTCTTGGCCCGTCTTGGAACGCTCACTGTTGCGAGCAAGTTATGCGGGAAGCGCTGGGGACCCGCGGGAGGCACACGGGGAACCCCGTAAAATACGAGGATCTGGAACTTGGGCCCCTTGATATGAAGTCTTGAGGGCTGAGGCCTACAAGCGACCTGAACACCCCAACTCGTGCCTCGCGGCACGGCGGTGGACTTCTCCATTCGGCATTTTTTTGTTTCTCTTTTTCTCACTCGCTCTCTCTCTCTCTTTGGTGTCTGCGTGTGTGTATATACATCTATATATATATATACATGGGTGGCCCGCAGCTTCGCAACCACATGCGCGTGAAGCACTTCATTCGAGAGGCTACGCCGGCCGACTGCCCACATCTTCTGGCTGATGCTCCAGGGGAATCCCAGAGTGTGCCCAGGGCAAGAGAAAGGGGACATCTGATGATGATGATGATGATGATGATGATGATGATGATGACGACGACGATGATGATGATGATGATGATGATGATGATGATGATGATGATGATGATGATGATGATGATGATGATGATGATGATGATGATGATGATGATGATGATGATGATGATGATGCTGCTGCTGCTGCTGATGATGATGATGATGATGATGATGATGATGATCATGAAGAGGGGGAGGAGGAGGAGGAGGAGGAGGAGGATGAGGAGGAGGAAGAGGAGGAGGAGGGGGAGGAGGAGGAGAGAGAAGAGGACGGTTGATGGACAACATCCTGCGCCACCCGCGCGACCACGGTGCCAGCGCACACTTCAACGCGCCTTCCTGTTGGCATCGCCAGCGGGGTGTAGGATTTCTGCCGGTCGGCAGATGGGCAAATCGCGGCGCAGCCCGCCAGCATTCAATGGGGGTCGCGGGTGGGTTTCTCAGAAGCCAACATTCAAGGTGCAGAGTGTTGCTAATCAGCTATAGGAGATAAGCGCAAAGTGAAGGCAACAACCTTCGCGTACATTGTTGCCTTTACAATCTTTTCCCTTCGGAAGTCGCATGTTGTTTGCAAACATGTTTGCCTTCATTGTTTCTTCAAATAGTATGGCAGGGACGAGCAGCTAGAGGAGGATAACGAAGCCCGTCGGGAGGATCTGCCCGAGGCGTCGGCCAGTAAGGATCGATGCGCCTGCTCGGGCTTGAACTCCGCCTCCTTCGTATCCTTCTGATGCTCTTATCTGGGAAACGTAAGACTCGAGTACGCCGGAGCTCGGGTTTGTCGACGCTTTTTGACGCGCGCGTCCTGGATTTTGACGGTCCAGTGTTCGTGGGATGTTTGCAGCGGGAGTTCGCGTCAAATATCAGATTAGGCCATTGTCATTTTTATGATGGTCCCGTCAGGCCAACCCGAGTCCCCCGAACCCGAACCTTACGTCTCGTCTCCCCGATCTTAATCCGTTCCATCCTCTCCGTCATCTTCCTTACTTTTTTCCTCATGTTCGGGATCTGGGAAGCCAACTGATTCCAACCCCGTTTGCTTATGCTTCCTTGACGCGGTGCGATTCGGGGACAATTCTTTCTCGTCCCGTCTTCGTCCTCCTGCACCTTCGCCCCTATCTCCTTTGGCAGTTGGTCTTGCTCCGTTCTCTCCCTGTCTTCATCCTCCAGGAGAGGGGGGGGAAATGATAGGGGAGGGTCGCCGGAGGAAGGAGAAGGGAGAACAGCGCAGAAGAGTCTCGTTCGGTGTCAGTCGCTTCAGCGCTCTCTCGTCTCGGGTGTCCGTGCGCGGGCAGTTTATCAAGAACACATGGAGATTCCGTTGACTGCCAGCGGGCGGATGTTCGGGTCGTTCAGGGCGATTACTGCCAGGGCGTGTGCCAGTTCTGTTTTTGCTGATCGAGACATAGAGAAGTGAGTCGTGTTCCTCACATCGCTCGTTCTCCTTCCTTCGTCTTCATCGATTTCCCAAGCGATTACGTAAGTGTAGGAGTGGGTAGGGAGGACCTTGTTGGCGATGCCTGATCAGCAGCAAGATAAAAGAAGATTGACAGTGCATCGCCGTACGCCCGCACGACCTCGTATTCGACTTTCCAGCGTGTTGAAACCGCTTGCTTCCAAGCATTCTCCTTCACCGCCTCGGTCTTTTTTTCCGCGCTCCTGTGAACAAAGCAGAGTTACCGCATCTTCTGCGAAAGTTGGTCGGGCGGGGCCAACACTGCTCTTGGGATCGGCCGCTCTGTGCACGAAGAAGACACCAGGTTGTTGCGAGGAGGTGATGGCAGCCAGCTCTTTCGTTCTTGATGCCAGGGTTGGGATGCAGCGGAAGACAATGAGGAGTGGGAAGGCAAGAAGAAGGACAAGGCAGCAGGGGGCGATACAGGGGAGGAGGGGTGACGGGTGGAGAAAGGAGGAGGGAGAAAGGAGGGAGAAGAGAAGGAGAAGGGAGGGAGGGACAAGGTCAGGGGGAGGAGCGAGGAGCGAGGAGGATGTATGAGTAGGCGAGGCGCTGCATGCTCGTCGTCCGGTTCCGACAACATGGTGACGCGTACAAGAGGCATGGCGGTTTCTTACCAGACGGATTTTGGAACACCAGCCGAACGGCAGCGAAACCGTGCTTGCAGGTCCATCGTATCACTCGATCGTCTGGGACCCGTGCAGTCCGGCACCGATGCGACCAGTCCAAGTGCTTTTGGAAGCCCAGCCCGTCGGCTGTTGCCGCGAACCTGGCCGTTCCTGAAGCCGCCCCCCTCTTCGGGCACTGCCCCCCTCTTCGGGCACTGGCGAGCCGCCCCCCTCTCCGGGCACTGGCCCCCCCTGCTTGGAAGCCCAGCCCGTCGGTCGTTGCCGCGAACCTGGCCGTTTCGAACGCCGCCCCCCTCTTCGGGCACCGGCGAGTCGTGACGTGCCCCCCGACGGCTGCGGGGGCTGCGGATCGAGCACGGCGACATCGCCACGGACCTCCTCTGCGGCATCTTCGCGCCCATGTTCACCCTCTCCCAGATCGAGGAGGGCTACCAGCCTGGAACATATCCCCATCCCTATGCTGGGCGGCTCCTCGTCACGATGCCAATCTCAGGGATTCCCTTACTTTTGAGGGCGCATCCCTGAGATTGTCATCGCATTTTGGCGTGTCAATCTTAGGATAGGGATACGCTCGAGGCTGGTAGGAGGGGGGGGGGGAGTGGAGACCGCAGCGCGCGCGAGGGAGACAGAGAAATCAGCAGGGGGAGGCGCGAGATAGGGACGAAGTGGGACTGGAGGGGAGGGGAGTGAGGAGTCTGAGAGGATTGCGGGGGGGGGGAGGGGATTGAGGAGAGGGGAGGGTATTGAGGGGAGGGGACTGAGGGGAGGGGATTCAGGGGAGGGGATCGAGGAGTGGAATGGGGGGAGGGGATTGAGAGGCGCGAAAGTTTGGAGGAGGGGAGCGAGTGCATGGCCGACCCTCGGCCCTGCTCGTCACAGTCGCGGGCAGAGCCCCGGTGGGCTGGCCACGACCGTGCGGGCGAGGAGGATGAGGCGCACACTCGTCCCAATCGGGTTTCTGAACTGGCGCGCTGCAGCAGTGCTCCGCAGAGCGTGGTCCAGTGATCCTGGTGACACACACGACACGAGGCGATCTACAGTGCCGTCTTTCATACATGCTCCGCGTGCGGATCATGTATTACAAATGCAGGGATTTAGTATTAAAAACAATGATGAGTTCATGCATAAACTTTTTCATAAATTATTCATGTATTAAAATCCAATATTTTCAAACAATCCTATGTATTGAAACCTGCCCTGCAAGACCGTCGATCGCCCCTCGACGGCAGAAGCCCGCACCCTTCCCGTGGCCCCTCCGGTGCAGCCTTTCTCCCCGCCTCCGTCTCTGACGGCCCCTTTGGGCCCGAAAACGGCGCCATGGGGGCCGAAGGAGAGAAAACGCTTGCCCGAGCCCGGCTTCTCGAAGCTCGCCCCTGCTTCCTGCCTCTCCGCCACAATAATATATCGGAGGTGAGGGGGTGAGATCGAAGTGGAACGGCGAGCCCCCCTACCGGGAAATCGATTTCGGTTTCGTGTTCGTGCGTGCCGTGCGGGCGAGGCGAAGCTGCGTGGGCGGGCGAGAGAAAGTCTCCTGTGGCTGAGGCGCGGCCGGACCAAATGACTCCCTTCCGGGCGGCCGGGGGCCCGCGGTGTCCCGCCGGTGTCCCGCTGGTGTCCCGTGTGGCTGAGGCGCGGCCGGACCAAATGACTCCCTTCCGGGCGGCCGGTGGCCCGCGGTGTCCCGCCGGTGTCCCGCTGGTGTCCCGTGTGGCTGAGGCGCGGCCGGACGAAATGATTCCCTTCCGGGCGGCCGGGGCGGCGCGGTGTCCCGCCCCCGCCGGTGTCCCGTCCGTGTCCCGTCGGTGTCCCGATGATGATGTTGATGATGATTATGATGATGATTCTGATGATGATGGTGATGATGATGATGGTGATAATGATGATGATGTTGATGATGGCGATGATGATGTGATGATGATGATGTGATGATGATGATGATGATGATGATGATGATGATGATGATGATGATGATGATGATGATGACGTCGATTGCGAGATCGATTGTGATATCGGTAGTGAGACCGAATGTGAGATCGATTGTGCGATGCTGATGGTGATGATGGCCTGATCATGATGATGATTGATGTTTGTGATTATGATGACGACATGATGATGATGATGATGATGATGATGATGATGATGATGATGATGATGATGATGATGATGATGATGATGATGATGATGATGTGATGCTGATGATGATGATGAATGATGATGATGATGATGATGATGATGATGATGATGATGTTGATGGTGATGTCGATGATGATGATGACGACGTGGACTCGCGGCTGTTGGTCGTGCCTTGCGCGACCGCCGTCCACAGGCAGGGCCCCGAGCACGTTGGGTCGGGGTCCAGGGGGCTCGGGTGTCCCAGGGGCCTTGGTGCGGGTGTCCTCACCATCAGTTCTTCAGTTCAGCTCGCCGTTGACAGTGAGCGGGCCGGCCGTGCTGCCGATTTTGCGCAGAGAGTCTTCGTGTCGACTGGCATGGGCGGAGACACGGAGAGAGCGGCATGTGTGTCGAGCGGCATGTGTGTCGAGCGGCATGGTGGGATCGTGTGTGGGATAGTGAGACCGGCCGAGAGAGATCGATGATGAGATCGATTGTGAGATCGATGGTGAGATTGATCGAGTGAGATCGATGAGTGAGACCGATAAAGAGATCGATAGTGAGATCGATCGTGCAAGAGGGGGCGCGGGCTGCGCCAAGCTTTGCCAGCGCTTCAGTCTTCTGTGGCCAATGGCGCCGTTAGCTGCCGTTGCGCAAGTTGGGCAGGTTCCCACGGGGAGGGCCGAATGGTGCCAAGGCGCCAAAGAGCCAAGGGTGACGCAAACAACTCGACACCAACGCTTCCAAGAGCGAGCGGCAACGCAACTATCTCCACTGACATTGTCACAACAACATTCACCACTGTTGCCCATTGCTGGGCCCCTCCCCCTCCCAACCTCCTTATCACCCGCAGGGTGGTCGTATAGGTGTGTATATATATATATATAAATCGGAGGTGAGGGGGTGAGATCGGACTGGAACGGCGAGCCCCCATGCCGGGAAATCGATTTCGGTTTCGTGTTCGTGCGCGCCGTGCGGGCGAGGCGAAGCTGCGTGGGCGGGCGAGAGAAAGTCTCCTGTGGCTGAGGCGCGGCCGGACCAAATGACTCCCTTCCGGGCGGCCGGTGGCCCGCGGTGTCCCGCCGGTGTCCCGCTGGTGTCCCGTGTGGCTGAGGCGCGGCCGGACCAAATGACTCCCTTCCGGGCGGCCGGTGGCCCGCGGTGTCCAGCCGGTGTCCCGCGGTGTCCCGCGGTGTCCCGCGGTGTCCTGCCGGTGTCCCGCGGTGTCCCGCGAGGATGATGATGATGATGATGATGATGATGATGATGATGATGATATGACGATGATGCTGATGCTGATGATGACGAATATGATTATGGTGATGATGATGATGGTGTCGATAATGATGATAGTGTCCCGATGAAGATGATGATGATGCTCATGATGATGATGATGATGACGATGATGGTGTCCCGATGATGATGATGATGATTCCGATGGTGTTTGTGATGATGATGTTGATGGGAATGGTGTCCTGGCGATAATGATGTTGATGATGATGATGTTGATGATGATCATGGTGTCCCGATGATGATGCTGATGACGATGATGGTGATGATGATGTTGATGCTGATGGTGTCAAGATGATGATAACAATGATAATGGCGATGTTGATGATGATGTTGTTCATGATGATGGTCCCCCAATGATGATGTTGTTGTTGATGATGATGATGATGTCGATAATGATGATGATGCGATGATCATGATGATGACGGTGTCCCGAGGATGATGACGATGTTGATGATTCAATAGGATTACGCCACATCCGCCGACCCGTCATCTTGGCGGTCTTGCCGGCTCGCTTGAATCGGACTGGGGAGTCGTGTGGGGGTCCATAATGACCTCTCCTGGGGCCATGTGGAATCCGTTTGGGGTCATCTCGAGGCCCTGGGGGGCCCATCGGAAAAGAAAGGACGCTAATGCAATCTTGGCATCGTTCTGGAGATGCCCAAAGGGTGGAAGCGTTGGATTGGGGCCCGTATATTTCTTGCTGGGTTTGACTTCTTTGGTGAGGCCGAGTTGTTTTTGGGGGTATCCCTCAGCCCGCACGGGGAACCTCGGGGCTGCGGAGGGGACGAGTCTCACACGCTTGGGAACCGAGAAGGTGTTCGCGGTTTGTTTCGCATTGCTAGGTCCAGGCGCGTTACGAGCCCGAGGCCATCGCGTGACCTACGGGGGCTGAGCTAGGACGCTACGTGCGGCCGAAGCGGTGGTTCGGTTGGTGTTCCCCCGCGTCCTCACTGGGCGTTTCGTCATCATCATCATCACCACCATCATCATCATCATCATCATCATTACCGTCACCATCATCATCATCATCATCATCATTATCATCACCACCATCATCATCATGCTAAGCATCATCATCATCATCATCGGTATCATCCTCGTCATAATTATTGTCGTCGTTGTCGCCATCATCGTCATCATATCCATGACCCACATCATCGCATCATCATAATCAGACTCGTGCCCAAAACAGCATCATCAGCCGGGTCCTCAATAACACTATCAGTTATTAGGCCTCATGGCGGCCTTTGGGGCGGATGAGGTTTCTGACGCGGCTGGAGGCCCAGGAGGCGCAAGCGTCGGGAATCCGCAGACGCGCGAGCCTTCGAAACGTTCAATCAAGCACGGGGTATTTGTAATGCTCGTTGGAGGCATCCTCGCGAAATGTGGATGTTGAAATCGCTGGCCTAATCTTCGGATCTCCAACATGGAGGCTCTCGCCTGAGACATCCTCGGAAAAGTGGTCGTCTTGAAGAGTCCCTGTAGGACCTGTTGTCGCAGTCGTCGTCGACGTTGTCCTCGTCGTGATCGTCGTCGTCGTCCTCGTCGTCCTCGTCGTCCTCGTCGTCGTCGTCGCATCGTTTCGCTGCCTGCGCCCCCCCCCGTTCCCGTCTGGGCGCCCGCTCTAGCTCTGGCCCGATGCGGGGCTCGCTCTGCTTGGAAGCCTCGTCGAGGTGCGGCCGATAAGCGTTATCGCTTGAATCTTCGTGCGCGCGCGTCAGCGATGCGAGAATCAGGAAGACGACGACGACGACGACCACTACGACCGCGACGACGACGACGACGACCAGGACGACGACGACGACGGCGACGACGACGACGTTGACGACCACGACGACGACGACGAAGACGACGATCCGTAGCTGTTTTGGCGCAGTTCGAATTTTCCCCCATAGCGTTCGCCCAGAGCGACGGCGCTGCATCGACCTGCGGCTGGAACGAGAATTTCCAGTGCGATTGCCCAGCGCCGGTCGTGGACATGATGTGCATGCAGGTTTTTGTTGGATTTTGCTATGCCGTCCTGCCGAAGAGCGACTGCATTGCCCTGACATGTGGCTTCAATGAGATCTGCCAGTGCGTTATCCCCCCGCTGGCCGCGGACCTGGCGTGCACGCAGTTTGCCCCTGAATTGTGCTATGCCGTCCTGCCCAGGAGCGACGGCGCTGCCGTGACATGCGGCCTGGATGAGATTTGCCAGTCCGATATTCCCGCGCGAGTCGCTGACCTCATGGTCGTGCGGGCTGCTGCTGGATTTTGCTATGCCGTTCTGCCCAGGAGCGACGGCATTTCCGTGACGTGCGGCTTGAATGAGATCTGCCGGTGCGTTATCCCCGCGCTGGCCGCGGACCTGGTGTGCACTCAGTTTGCCGCTGTGTCTTGGTATACCTATGTGCCCACGTGCGACTGCAGTGTCGTGACATGCGGCTTCAATGAGAATTGCCAGTGCGTTATCCCTGCGGTGTTCGCGGACTTGATGTGCATGCAGGTTGCCAGTGGATTTTGCCGCGCCGTCCTGCCCAGGAGCAGTGGCACTTCCGTGACATGCGGTTGGAACGAGAACTGCCAGTGCCATCGCCCAGCGCTGGCCGCGGACTTGGCGAACGCGCAGAACTTGGTGGCCACGCAGGTTGCTGATGGATTATGCTATACCGTTCTGCCCAGGAGCGACGGCGCTGCCGTGAGATGTGCCTTGAAAGAGAACTGCTGGTGCGTTATCCCCGCGCTGGCCGCGGGCCTGGTGCGCGCGCAGGTTGCCGGTGGATTTTGCTATACCGCCCCGCCTCGGAGCGACGGCGCCGCCGAGACACGCGGCTTGGATGAGAATGGTGAGTTCGATCTCCCCGCGCTGGTTGCGGACCTGGCGGTCGCGCAGGTTGCCTCTGGATCTTGCTATGCAGTCCCGCCCAGGAGCGACGGTCTTGCTGTGACATGCGGCGCGAGTGAGAACCGCGAGTGCGCTCGTCCAGCGCTGGCCGCGGACCTGGTGCACACGCAGGTTTCCGCTGGATTTTGCTACGCCGTCCTGCCCCGATGCGACGGCGCTGCCGTGACATGCGGCTTCAATGAGAACTGCCAGTGCGCGATCCCTGCGCTGGTCTCGGACTTCATGCGCATGCAGATTGCCGCTGGATTTTGCTACTCTCTCCTGCCCAGGAGCGACGGCGCTGCCGTGTCGTGCGGTTGGAACGACAATTGCCAGTGCGATTGCTCAGCGCTGGCCGCGGACTTGGTGTATGCGCTGAATTTGATGCGCGCGCAGGTTGCCGCTGGATAGTGCTATGCCGTTCTGCCGAGGAGCGATGGCATTGACTTGCCATGTTTGTTGAAAGAGAACTGCCGGTGTGTTATCTCCGCGCTGGTCGCGGTCACGATCGCGCAGGTTGCCGCTGAATTGTGCTGCACCGCCCTGCCGTTGAGCGACGGCGCTGCCGCGACATCGGGCTTCATTGAGAGCTGCCGGTGCATTATTCCTGCGCTGGCCGCGGACCTGGGGTACACGCAGGTTGCCGCCGGATTTTGTTATGCCATCCTGCCCAGAAGCGACGGCGTTGCCGTGGCATGCAGCCTCGCTGAGAATTGCCAGCGTGATCTCTTAACGCTGGTCGCGGGCAAGACGTATCTAAGACGCCTACGGCGAATCGTCGCCGCCCCTTGCTTTTTTGGAAACGCCGATGCGGCCGAAAGTTGGGCTAGAGTTTGGCCGAGGTATCGGGCCATGCGTTCCCCGAGTCGGTTTGGAAAGCATTCGGGGGACACTTGGGGGAGAATGAACATGAACAGGAAGAGGAAGAGGATGGGGAAGAGTAGAAGGATGAGGGTTGTTAGGAGGGCACTCTTGGGGTCCGGGAGCTTCTTGGGGGCCTGGCTGCAAGAGTAAGGGCGAACGAGGAAGGGCGAACCTGGCTGCAAGAGCGCCTCGGCGTCTGGGTGCAAAAGGGGCAGGAGTTTCGACAGAACCACGTGCACCAGTGGGGCAAGCGTTTGCAGCGCGTGGTACCGTTGGCACATTGTCAGAGGAAAGACGATATGACGCAGTGCAAAAAGCTTTTTCCCGCGCACGACGTGGCTCATAGATCGCGCAATGGTGTTGTGCCAAGGCTTCTCGAAAAACCGTGACATGCCGCGAGCAGGGAGGAGGAACATGACAGGGTGCTTGCGCTGGCCCATGAACGAGGAGAGCCTGAACGGCACGCTACCAGCGATGCTAAGCGGCGCGGTATGATTGAATTTCAACAGCGACTTGCAGATCCCGTACAGGTTCCCAGTGACGGAAGCGACGCATGATAGTTGTGTGTGCGAAGAGCGGTGCTGGGAGACGGATCGACCCATAGACGTGGTTTTGGCAGCGCAACGAGCGCAGAATGCAGCAGCGGGGTATGCGGCGGACAATCAGTGCAGGCGGTGTGCCCCGTCGTTCAACGAGGTGAGGGAGATCAAAAAGGGCCACCGCGCGCTGGCGGAGCAGACGAGAGACAGGACCGCGGCGTACCGAGCGAACAGGCACATGAAGAGGTTTCTCAGTGACATGTACGGGGGAGGTGTGGTGCGGTCAGCGCAGGAAAGTGCGAATCTGCGCGCGTGCCGAGACCCCAGAGACGTGACTGGTGCCGACAGTATCAAGACTGCGAAGACAGCCATGATCCCGGGATCAGAAGCCGTGCGCATGGCGGAATGGCTCTGTGCTGACGGGGGCGGCGTTACCGTAGCAGCGTCGGGGATTCTGGAAGCAGACAAACGAGAAGGGCCGAAAAAGGTTCGAATTGTGTCTAAGAGTCCAGTGTACTTGTATGGCATGCGCCCGGTTGGCGCTCCTGGTGCGCCCGACTTGGCACACTTATCGTTGCATGAGTTCTTGCGATATTGGCGCATCGAGTTGGCAGCATTTCCCCGCAGCGGAGCAGAGCTGGCAGCCGCGGCCAGCAATGATTACCAGGCGGAGCTGACGGAGTCCGGGATTCAGAAGGTCCGCGAAGCAGACGAGCAGAGAGCGGATGTTGACGAAAGCGGTGCGCTGCCCGGACCCCAGTTGAAAGCCGGAGTGGATTATGTGATCAAGGCAGGATGGGGGGGTTATTCGTGGGTCCCGTTTCCAGATGTTCCTGAGCTCGAAACATTGAGGCGCGCGTGGGTGCTGGTGCGAAACGAGCGCCCGAGAAACCCCAGCTTTCATGGGGCGCCGCAGCCGAAACACGGAGCGGGGCAGGAGGATAGGAACGGGCTGTTGTTGATGGTATATTTCCGGGCTTTCACACTTCGCGACGATGAAGAGTTCGCGGGGGCCGACTGTGGAGTACCACGCCTGCGAGAGTTCCGCGGAGAGCAGGGGTCATGGGCGGAGGCGTCTTTGGAATGGTTGAGGGAAGGCATGCCATGTGAAGAAACAAGGAGGTACGTGCAGAACTACATGGGCGTGGTGGATATGCGACCAGTCACGGACGAAGGTCTAGTCAAAGGCGAAGACGAGCTGTACAGCGATGAAGAACTGGATCCGCGATTTGTCGACGCGGCGACTATGCGGAAGACGCGCGTGGGAGGCGCGTCCATGGAGAAAGAGGACGGGCGGGCCAATGTAGACGCGGAGTGCGAAAAGGAGAAGAGCCGGGAGGCCATGGCCAGGGGCGACGCCGTTTGGGGCGAGATGACGAGTCGAAAGAACGGAAAGCGCAAAAAGCACGGAGAGGGCGGCGCGTTGAGGTGGGGTGACGCGGCAGTGAAAAGAGCGCAAGCGATGGCCGCGGCGTCGAGGGCGGCAGAAGGAGGCGGCGCCGGGGCAGCGGAAGGTGCTCCGGAAGTGGTCGCGGCCAAAAAAGCGACGGCGTCGAGTGTGCGGGAGTGGAGATCTGGTCTTGGAAAGAGTGGGCTGAATGAGAGACGGCGGAGCGTCGTTGAGAAGGTGGCAGATCGAGTGTTGTCGCAAGAGTTCGCGAGTTCCGCGCAGGGAAGGAAAAGAGGCCAGAGCCCTTCTGATATGCAGCCCCTCGTGTGGATGTTGCACGGTGGCCCGGGGGCGGGAAAGAGTTTCGTCATGGACACGATCCGGATGGGGCTGTTCGAAATTGAGCTGGGGTTGGCGCGCGGCGTAGATTTCCAGGTAGCAGCGTTGCAGGCTACAAACGCGTCAGCTCTCAACGGGAATACGATTCACTGTGCATTTGGGCTCGGGGTGGCGAACGCGAAAGAGAAGAAGGATGCGGCGGGCGATGGCGACGCAGAAGCGAAGAAGAAAACGAAGAAAGAGCAAGCCGCGCAGCGTATGTCACAGTGGAAGTGGCTGATAGTGGACGAGGTGAGCATGGTCAGCGCGAACTTCATTGCAGAGCTAGACTCGCACTTGCGGTCGTGCATGTCAGCTGCAAGCGACGCGAAAGCAGGTGAAGACGGCATAACCAGGCCCTTCGGGGGCGTGAATGTGCTGTTCTGCTGGGATTTCTATCAATTGGGCCCGCCGTCAGGGACAGCCATTAATGCGCTTCCGACGTCGTACTTGAAAAACGCAAGGAAATACGCACCGGGTGCCACGGAGGACCACGGACAGCATATCTTTTGGGGAGCGGGTGGCGACGGCGCAGTGCAGGGAATGACAGAGTTGACAGAGTGCAAACGCGTGGAGAATCAAGACGAGTGGTTTCTCGCTGTGCAGGACGAGTTCCGCCGAGGGGAGTTGTCGGAACGCACGCGCAATTTTTTGCATGGCAGACCGACGGATGTCCCGGGGTCGTGGGTGGGCGGTGCGCCGTTGTGCGGGAGCGCGTGTTGTCTCGAAAGCATAGAAGCAATCGCGAAAGAAAACGAGCTCGAATGTGACGCTTGCAAAGCTGAGCGGGAGAAGAGAAAACTCGTTGCGACGTCGCCAGAAGATGCGCGGTTTCGGGAGAAGAAATTCCTTGAAGCAGTCGCCATTTATGCGAATCAAGACATTCGTTGTCACATCGGGAAGCAGAGAGCTGTGCAATGGGCGAAGGAGTTCGGAGAACAGTTGCTGTGGGTCGCAGCCAGGGGCCGCCCTTGCCATGGTGGGGGACAGAGGCGGCCGTGCACGATAGAGGACAAGATACGTTGGCTGGGGTACCATGAGAAGGAATGCGCAAGCTTGCCCGGGTGGCTACCGTTGGCGAAGGGGATGCCCGTGGCTTTGGGAGATCACGTGGATCGGTCAAAGAAGCAGCTTCTGCGGGGGCGCACGGCGACGATCCATGGATGGGTGTTGCACGAGGATGAGGTCGTTCGAGACGGCGACGAGGAAGTATTGATGCATCTGCCGAGAGTGATTGTGTTGGACTTCCATGCGAAAGAGTGGCACCTCCCAGGGTGGGGGCCGGGGCTGCATCCGATCTTCCCATCGAAAGGGCGGAAATGGTTCTTGGATGGATATCGGAAGCATACAGTATTGAGTGTGAAGCGCACGCAGTTTATGATCACCCCGGCTTTGGCAGTGACGGCGCACTCTGCGCAGGGCCAGAACATGGCTGCAGTGATAGCAGACCTTGAAAGAGGGCGCGGCGTGAGTTGGATGACAAGTTACGTTGCCATCGCACGCGTGCGGGGGCGGGGGGACTTGTTGATTTTCAGGCCTTTCGATAGGAAGCCGTACAGCGCGGGGGAGATGCCAGGCGCAAAGAAGTTGTTGCAGGTGCTTCGCGGGGAGAGAGTGGAGTGGGATGAGGGGGAAGAGGAACTAATGCCACGAGACCAGTGCGAGCGCTGCCGGCGGAGGTTGTTGGTAGAGGCGTTCAAGAAGTACGAGTTCCAGAGAAAGGAACGGCCGGCGTTCTGCAAAGAGCGCACGGAGGAGATGAAAAGCGCGGGCGAGAAATGGTGCAAGATGTGCAGGGGGTGGGCAACGAGAGGAGAGAGTGACGACGCGGCACGCCATGGCAGCGGTCGGAACGCGGAGGCGGCGGCCGACGACGGGGAAACGAAAAGGATCAGGACAATGTGCTGCGCGAAGTGCAGCGGTATCAAAGCCAAGCAGAACTTGCGGAAAGACAGCGCGAAGTGGAATCAGAGCGTCGGAACAGTGCGATTTACGAACGGTAAGTGCCTGTCGCTATATGACGAAAAGGCGGATATGTCGGAAGCTCAGAAGAAGCACAATGCTGCGGGGGAAAGGCTCTGTCGGAAATGCGCGGCTGAACGAGAGAAAGAGGTGCGACGGGGGAATGCGGAGGCAGCGAATCGCAAGCGGAAAGCCGAGGCGGGCGCGAACCCACTGACGCGTTCGGCGTGCGGAGAGGCGTTCTCGGACACGAAGCATTTGAAGCATAAGCAAGTGGAAGATCATCGAGCGGCGAAAGGGGCGAAAGTGGTGCGCGGAGGCTGCAAGAACCTCGGGTTCACAGCCCGCAGTTGCCACGCGTATCAGTGCGGCGGCGCGTGCAAGAGAAGACTACCGAAGTCGGCGTTCTCCAGGAACCCTGCCGACGTCGCACGCGATGCAAAAAAGGGCACCCTGATATGCAATGCCTGCAAAGGATGCCCAATCGGGGGCGCGCGGGCGGGGGA